CCTTCTATACTTTTTAGCACATAGGTATTTATTATTAGCATTATTCTTCCGATGTCTGATTTCTTTTTAATTATAGGAAATGCGTTTTTCTAAGGCACATAAACTTTTGGGATTGATTGTATAGCCAATACATCTTTAAACAAAAAACCTGCTTGGTACATTTTGTAATATTTTTAGACCGTTTAATGCTCCAGTTATCGACGCGAGTTTCGGAACTATTCATTAAACATTCACGCAGATGACAGTGGATGGTAATTTCGGTCGTAACGAAACGGCTCGAGCGGAGGACAGGAAATCGTTGACGATTTCTCGTCGGAAACTCCGCTGAATCTTAACGCGTGATCTGCATAAACGATCCCACGGAACGTTATCCTATTCTATTTGCAGTTTAACTATCGGGAAGACAGATACGTCGGATAGGGGTACCATAAATTTGATATCTTCAACGATACTCTGGATAATTAAATTAAATTATTGAAGAACGTTACGTGCGAATAGTTATAGTTACTGTCTTCTCATAGTCTTCCTTTTGTCTGGTGGTTAAGAAATAAGGATAGAAAATTTAAGAACAGGTGTAGAGTGGAAGTGTAGAATCATGAATAATAATTACATTGTATTTCACAGACTACTTAAAGTAGTTAAAGAAACTTCGTACATTTTACTTACGGCAATTATTTGTACAATGATTTTAGAAACACTTCTGTTTCATTTGAAATTAATTTTACCATACATTTGAATTTATCATTTGCATATGACTTGACGGGAAGAAATGCTTATAGATAAGCATGATTTATAAGCTGAAAGCGCCGTTTAAGGTTTCCCGAAATTTGACGAGCACGACTACGACCGAGTGGAATCTCTTGTACATTAAATTAGCCGGGGTTGACGATTAACTCAAGATCATTTACGAACTCTGACTACCCAACTCGCTACCTTTATTGCCTCGTATCCGTCCAGCCCGTTTTCCCCGGTAACTACGGTAATTGAATTTGAGAGTAGCTACAGAGCTGTCCGTACCTCGAGTTTTCTCCATATGCATGCATATATGTATGTATGTACATATGTGCATCCGTCACCAGAAAAACTTGACAACTCGACCAACAAAAGTCTGTGAGCTCGTTTCACAAATTTCATTCCTGAAAGTCAATACAATTATGCAACATTCCCCTATTGCGGTCTCATTTTACCTTTTATAATTAATGATTGTTTGTTATGTATAAAGGAGAAAGATTGAATCTCTGTTTTTCCCCTTTTCTCATTTATTTTACCTGTTTAAACGGACAGCGCACTCTTTACACGGGGAACCATTTGCATTTTTATTAGCTGCTCTATTATCAGCCAACCGATCAACCTTTGGTATCGATTCGAAAAACCAGTGGCTGCGTGTACAACGACAAATGTTCCTTTCGATAAAAAATTGTTACAGAAAAAATGTGTTAATCCAAGTTGCTGATGAAGTGTATTTTTTAAGAGAAAAATTTGCAACACGAAAATCCTGACTGCCTACTTGAAATTGTGTACTATTGAAGTAAAAGACAAGAGATGATACGTGACAGTCAGATTTTTTTCAGAACCGATTATCTCATGGAAATGCTAACAAGATATAAATAGCTTTTAGAAAGTTTCATTGAAGAAAAATTGCTTCGAGTGACGGCGACTAAAATGTCCATTGAAAAGTAGGCGCACCAATAAGAGGAGCTCCCACATCTACTCCACGCTTCATACATTCAATTTCTCTCATTCACAAACGCATTCATAACACCAATTGCAAAGTGGTGCTAAATGCAGCATCATCTGCTTTCTACTTCCAACTCGAATATATTTACATCAACTTTAAGCTTTCTCACTGTACAAGATGAAATTAATTGAGAAAGTTATGTATTCTTGTCTCGTTTATATCAGTACAGTAGAAATCTTGTAACTTGAAGATAATGAACTAAACGAAACATATTGATTTCGTACACTAAATGATTCGTGCGCTAGCTAATAATTTGCGAAAGGAAAGAATTATCAACAACTACTCGATACCAATTTCATCTTCAGCAAAAGAATACTTGGATGAGAATTAGAGTTGAAAAATCGGCACGCTCCCTCGAGCCCGGAGCTCGCGCGAGAGGAACGAAGAGGGAAGAAAGAAAAATGCTCGAGACGGTCGGGGCCTTAGCCTTGTTCGCGGGCCGCGCGTCGATCGATCCTCGTCGATGACGTCGCGCGCGGATGTCGTGCACGAAAGCATCAAGAGTAACGTTCGTTCGTGGGCCCGGACACGAGCCCCGGCCGATCGTGCCGGCCGGCCGGTCGGTCGGTCGGCGGGAGGTCAAAGAACGCGAATCGCAAACTCATGGCGATCTCGCGCGCGCGGCCTCTCTCGGGAACGGGGAACTCTCTTCTTCGGGAACGCTCTTGGGCCGCGGCTGCTCGACGAGGATAACGGCCGCGCGGGTACGTTGAACAAGGACGGATATACCCCGGTATTCGCCAGCTGCCGTTGAACGTGTTCAATGCCGCGGTTGGAGCAAGAAAGCGGTCGGAGAGAAGAGGTCGGTCGGTCGGTCGGGACGGCAATGCTGGCGGTGGCGGTTGTGGTGGGGATCGTAGCCGTGTGGGCCGCCGGTGCTACTCCCGCTTCGTGTTCCTCTTTCGACTTCAGTCTCTCTCTATACGTTACCGGGAGGTATTACCATCGCTGGGGCCGCTGGCATGCTCTAGGCGGCTCGCCTCGCTCGAGTCGGAGCACCACCTGGATCGGCCACCGTCAGGTAGGACCCAAAACTCTGTGCGACGATACGAAGCGCGAAGGAGGGGCAGAAAAATCCACCGGCCGGGTCTCCGCTGGCAGCCCTTCCAGTTGACAGTAGAGTGGAAGGCACGCGAAGCCTTCCACCGCTTCGTGAAACGCTGCGACAACGGGGGACCTACGCGATCCCTACATTACGCGACGTGCCACATGGAAATCTTTTTCCCTCGTCCCCGTATCGATCGTTGCTACTTGATTCACAAAACAGTTTCTCAAAGGCAAACCATCGTTGGTCGTGTTTAATGAAGTTCGGAGTGAAATCGTCGTGTCGCAACCCACTTGCCGGAGAGGATTGTACCAGCGTACGGAATGTCGTCGCGTTAAGATCGTCTTTCTGCTCGTAAATCTAACCGCGTTCGCATCGGCGGCGGTCTAACGGAGTCGCATCCGGCTGTTCCGTGCTTGTTCAGCGCAAAACGAGAAAATGTGCGAAGCTGGCTACAGGGAACTCGAGCTTACACCGGATTCGGATCGCTGATAAAGAGAAACGACGCCCCGTGATACATAGTACGTACCTGGAGCGTTGCGAATATTATTCGACGCAACAGGTACCATTTATCGGTATCGTTCCGGGACCCGAATCGGAGCAATCATTTCGACTAATCCGTTTGGTCAGCTGCGAGGATAAAGCGGGAGGATAACTGGAGTGGAGGGAGGGAAGAAGAGTGGCCGGACGTTTAACGCTCTAGTGGTAGACGGGAGTATGGTTGACAGTCGTCGAGGACGAAGCGAAAGGCAGCTTCGAACTCGTTAACCGGTTTCCACGGATCGGCATGCAGAACGACACTCGGTGAAGACTACGTACGCCACGAACTGAACCGGGGCCCTGAATGTTCCGTGCGTGTTCCACGCGTAAAGCGATCGGACCGGTCTACCTGATCAGAGACGGATGATCACCTGCCAACGATAGTATACCTTACCACCGGTACAATTCAGTACTGGATACTTTTCCGAAACGCCCGTGTCCGAGAACCGTGGAGACACCGTGAAACGCTTTTACCCGGTGAATATTTATAGCTGAAGATACCCACGGAAACGTTCTCGTTCACGTACGAAACATACGCGGAGATTCCTGAAATAGGAGGTGCGACGTAAAGTAAATGAGGATTGTTGTTTTAACTAATCTCGACGGGAACGATCGACGACGAACGACGACCGGAGACATCGATGCGAGGCAGTAACACGCGTGTCAATCACTGAAACGTGCCTCACTCACGGTTTGCCGAGGTATTTTTATTCGTGCGTGATTCAAATTCCTGAGGAGGTGTTTTCCTGGATACAGAGAGGCGAAGTCGAAGTGATCGAGCAGCACCGGTTGGTTCCTGACAGTGTACAGAGGAATGTTGTGTCTCCGAAGGGCGGCAATATTGCCATTACGCGTTTTATCGCTGGGCTGAATTTTCCCGGGAGGCGCGCTTGTTCGCTGATAAATGAATGAAGGTTTCACTTTGGTGATGTTGGTAGTGTACAGTCGGTATGCCGGCACGTACTATGCGAATTAGAAAGTGTGCTAGGTGAGGTGGTATCGTGAACAAGTGGGTGCTAGTTGAATCGACGATTTACCTTCGTGGAAAATTCGTGATCAGTGACCTTCGATAAAGTATGAAACACCGTGTTCGATTACCCTCAATTAAAAAACGTTTAACTAATGAATCCAACAATATCCAGCTGCGAATGAAATTGCTCGTTAAACGAAATGGTTCTACCGTAAGAAGTGTACAGTAGCAAAGAATTTAGTATGTTCGATTCGTCGAGTGATGAAAGCAGAAGAAGTATGTTTGTGTGATCCAGTGTCGTTTAATTGATTGAAAAAATTGGCAAAATTATTGGAAATACGCGAACCGCACGCTTCGGAGCGAGTCGGGGGACGAAGAAGTGCAACGGTCGCCGTGGCATGAGGAGGTTCACACGCAGGCGCAAAACCCTGGCCGCATTCTCTGCGATTATGAGACGCCTTGGTAAAAGCTCGCAGAGCACGACGAGGCCCATCTTCAGGGTACAGTATCGCAAACTCGTCGACGAGTACGCACAGCAACAGGATCAGCTGAAGTTCATGCCGGCGTTACCCGATTACATGTCGTACTGCTGTTGCCGATGCGGTCACACTCAAAAACTCAAAGTAAGTCGACAATTTTACAGATTGGCTCGCAGCATCCCAAAACTGCTTGACCCCACATCACTGTTTTTCACAAGTATAAATGATCTCCTGTCTCTAATCGCGATCATCAATTTGAGACGTTGGAAAATCGTTAGTCGAGGAGATTTGGTAATTATAAGTTGGGAAACGAGATGCCATTTTGCTACTAGCTCGGTTCCAATTAATTTGACAGCGAGCTGAACGGAACGGTAACACCTGCGTGACACTTTATATCCCGCCGAGACACTCGATAGTTGGTATCGTTACCAACTATTCTCCGAAAGGAGCAGGCAGGACCTGCACGCAAGTCAACTTTCACGCGACGCGACGCATCGGTTGCGTCATTAAAATGATCCCGGGCCATCGTTCAGGCCGTTTATCTTTTATCTTCGCTTTTTTCGTTGCCCCGTTAACCGTTCATTCTATATTCGAAGTGCAAATCATCGGAGAGCATCCTTACCGTATTAACCAAACGCGATTAGGTTGCAGTACCGTAACGTGACCCCGACAGACCAGTGCATCTTGCAGGTAGAAATTCAAGAAAGCAACTCGCCATTGTTTCGCTAAAATGGAGCAGGTCGTAAAAAACCCCCTGCGAAATATGCTATCTTTTCTCTTTGTCGTCAATATTTCCAACTACAGAATTGAAACACAGACGGAGTATCATTATATTTTTTGTGCCAGTAAATGCATTAAGTCAGTAAATTACGTTATTTCTAGAACAAATAGTAGGCGATTTTAATGAGAAGAATGTGCAAAGATTTTCACATGAAAGAAACGCAACACTACTCTGCACTGTGCAGCAACAACAACCTGTCACTTCCTATTCTATTTCGTACCCGTTCGACTAGTCGATGTGTTAAATAGCTCCAGTATCCCAGTAAGCCTTAAACGAGCTGGTTAAGCCGAATATGGTTGCAGGAAGGGAAATCCAAGAAACCATGAATCCAAGAGAGTGTTCTATGGGAATGGTTGGAATTCCGGGGAAATCGACCAAATAAATATCAAACCGTAAGCCGAACTAAGAATTTGTAACCTGGGGATAGAAAGATCTGACATTCTGAGAAAACTACTATGCCCTGAGTTGAAATATATCTGAGAGGGACGCATTAAAGTCGGTTCGGTAAAAAGCCATGATAATTTCTAACGGCGCTCCGAACATTCTGAGCATACCGTCCAAATTATCGAGTAATTTTAATCTCGTTCGACAAGCGTATTATCTAATGACCTGCGATAAATCCTGAGAATCCTCCGACGCGACTATCTCTCGCAGCTATCGAACCGAGCGCTGTGCCCAGATTCTCAAGATGATGTACTGTATCTCATAAATATAAAATAAAACGATTCCCGTACTCTTATTGTCCATTTTAGATTAAATGATACTTGCACAATTATTGTCACACGTTTTAAAAAAAAATAGTTATTAATCATTTTCAATCGAACTTATAATTATGGAACACTTTCTCTGATGCTTCAATTCATCTTATGGAGCAACAGATGACAGACTCAGTGATTAAATCGGCATGAGGAAAAATAAAAAGGTTGACGTAGCAAACATTAAAAAATCGAAGTAATAATGAAAGTAAAAAGAAAATCGACTGTATAGATATCGGAGAAGTCACAAGTCGTTTGAATGCATGCAGAAGCCTTCGAACGCGGTCTAACCTTAGCGATATTACCGGCAAGGAGAGAGAAAGTAAGAGAGAGACGAGAGAAAGAGAGAAAAGAGGGTTGTAAGCCGTGGGATCGGACGGGCACATTCCTCAGGACCGTACTTATAGCTGCTCGTGGTATCGGATACCTCGTGCTTGCTGCTGTCTCTTGTCTCTTTACCGACACTGCACGCCAGTCGCCTTCGTCCATTTTATAGTCATCTCTCTACGCGAGAT